ATTTCACAGAAATATTCTCCTGTATTTATATCAAGTACATACTATTTGTGTAATTTCAGCTACACTGTAAATAAACTGTCGTTACTTGAAATTAAATTAAATAAAACATCATGTAGTAAAAAGTAACAATTTGTTTAAATATATTCATTTCTTACCAATTAATTTTTTTCTCAACGCTCTTTCATCAAATGTAATTCAGTTCAATTTGTAATACTATATATCATAATACTTTCATTGTTGGAAATAAGTTAAATATGTTCTAAACAAAGATGCTATTCCAAATATGTTTTCAACTTATTTTATTCTTGACGTTTGGTCTTTCAAAACACATATGTTGCTCAATAGCTTTCTCAAGAACTGTCGTGTCATGTGGTGGAACCTGTAATGAAACAAAAATTATATCATTAGGATGATTGATCAATTCAAGTAGACCAATATATTGTTGATAAATGGGTAAATTATTATAAACATCTCAAACATTAACGCTACTGCAAGTAATTTGGCGATTCTCCACAATTTAAGAATAAAGTTATAGCGTGTCCAACCTGTGATATAAGTTCTTCTATCGTAACTATCTGAGAATAATGCAGAGAACAGTGGGTCATTTTCAATAACATTTTCTATTGTTATCTTACTCAGTTGTATCAATTCTTGATGACTAAGTTGTTTTAGACTTTGTTTCATCAAATCACAATTCTTTTCAAGAAACTCTTATTGCATCTCATAATTGAGAGTTTTCTGCAATGTCCATATTATATCGTTTACGATGCTTATTTATTTATCTCTGTCTTCCATGTTAAATATTAGGTTAGGGAATAAGTTCGTAGCGTTTTTATCAAAGACTTTTATTTAAACAAAAATCAATAGTTATAACAATAAATTAATCAATTATGTATTCGCTGCTGCTGTTTACGGCCTCCTCCCACCTCTCGACCAATTTGTCGATGCCGTTCCGCCAAAAATCGCTCGGTTTGGTATCGAAGAAGTTGTTGAGCCAGTTTTTAAGGTCCTCTTCATTGTCGAAGGTAACGCTCCTCATATGGTTCGACAAGGAGCGGAAAAGATGGTAATCCGTCGGTGCAAGGTCCGGAGAATACGGCGGATGCTGAAGGACCTCCCATTCGAGCTCTTGGAGTGCGGCTTTGACGATTTGTGCAACATGGGGCCTGGCGTTGTCGTGAAGGAGTATGGTTTAGCCTTATCGATAGGGTCTTTTCAGTCGAATAGCCTCTTTCACGCGGTGTAGCTAAGCTATGTAGAGCTCCTCGTTGACCGTGGCATTCCTTTCGAGCATTTCCCAGTGCACCATGCCCTCCCAGTTCCACCAAACGCAGATCATGGTCTTCTTTGAATGGAGGTCAGGCTTGACTCTCGGCTTTGGCGTATTTCCTGGAGCCACCCATTCCTTTCTTTGCTTCATATTTATGTATAGGCACCATTTCTCATCTCCCGTGACGATTCGGTACAAAAAGCGCTGTTTATGACAGCGTGTTGCTCGATGGCAGGCGAGATGTTGAGAAGCAATTTGAAGGCGAATTTCTTTGTTGTTTTCGTTAAGCTCGTGAAACACTCAGGCTCCCAATTTTTCGGCAAATCCCATTGAATGAAGATGATTGAGTATCGTTTTATGATCGCAGTTCATTTTTTCGGCCAATTCACGACTTGTTTGGTGACCGTCCGTTTTTAGATGTATCACAGACATTTAACAAGGTGTTGTACCTAGGGTTATTATACAGAATAAAAAATATCTTCCACACAACTTTTATCCATTTTTAGAATCATATATAACAGATAAGCATTTCTTAGTTAAGTATCAAGAAGAATACATTGCGACATGGCAGCTTGAAGCGCCTGTCACAAGGGGCGGTTGTCTCCGAGAAGGCCCTATCGCGGGTAGGGTGACGCACTCACCGCCATATTTAACACGGCGAGTTTTTTTTTTGTGATACAACGGAGACCGCGCGCCGCGGGTGCGCGTGGATTGTCGAGGCGAGCCCCGCGACCCTTCACATGTATAGCCACGCTCCGGATGGCGGCGAGAAGCAGACGAGGTACGAACCGTCGAGTGGAGGAGCGGAGGACGCCAAACATGCAGCCGGAACCCGATGGACTCGCCTTGCTCTGGTCATTTGACAGTAACACTCAGAAGGGAGATGTTGGTTCTCAGCATCTCCCACGTGCAAACCACAC